ATTTATTTGAATGGTCTGGTTTGAAAAGTAAAGATGTTTTCTAAATGTGCATGTTAACTAAGAACCAATAGAGTATAAATTTCAGATGAGCAAAGTGAGCAAATCTCTAGAATAAATCTTGCTTTAGCCACCTTCTGCCACCTATTTCCTGCTATGCCACAAAACTCTCCCAGCCATTTGTCGTAATTCAGAAAATTGGTGCTGGAGAAACAATACATCTGCTGAGCTTCATCAGTTCCCCACCTACCTGGCCCTACCATCTGCCACACTGCACATTCTGTCTCCTCTCCCTCTCCGATTGCTTCTTGTACTTTATTACTTCCTGGCACTAGTGATCAATACACATCCTTGCTTTATAATGTCATTTGATGTAGCCACCTGCTGTGCTGGGTGTCACCTGATCACATGATGGAGGTGTATTTATCTGACTGCCTGATTTACATGAAATTTGCACCATGGGCGGAGCACTGGCGATGTTCAGGAGCTGGTTTTTGGAGGAAAATTTACTTCAATCAGGTCTGAGTGTGTTGGAATATCAAGAGAGGAGGGACATTGGTCTAATTTAAGAGTGACGTCAAGGGGGTCCTGATCGATGCAGGGTTGTGTCCTGCAATGCAAAGACTGAAACAATAACAAAAGGTTGCAGTTAGGCTACGAGATAAATCAATGTCAAGTGGAGAAGCGTTTGGATTACGTTCTCAGAACTTCTTGCAACTGAGCAAACATGAATTTAATTTGAAGGTTCAATCTAAGGATTTTTTAAATTCATAAGAAATGTTGAAGCTACTGCCATAAGTTCAACCAAATATCAGATGTCTTCTCAAAAGCCCAATAGTAACTATTCATTTTGTAATATTCCATGTGACATTTTGAAATCGTATAGAAGTGTGAAGAGAACCAAGACACGCTGCGGCAGTGACTCATTAGGGTCATTGTGGTAACCACACACACATCCCACTCACTTTCTGACAGCATGCTTGAAAAGACAGGCAGACAGAATCATAGAGTAGAAAGTAAGCTTCAGTCAAACTATAACAAATCATAACATCACACAGGTCAAATTTCATATGTCGACAGTTTTATGTAGAATATATGAGAAGTTAAAAAGCCCATTCATTAAAAGTTGTAAAAAATGTGTTTCTGAGCTCAGATGGACGTCATTGTTTGGGTGTGTGAGCTTTACTCTGAAGGTCTGAATGGTAAAAAGAATGCTGAAGTGTTTATGAATTAGCACCTTCATAAAGTCCAGTTTTACAAATAATGCTTTGCTCATATTTCTTTTTGCAACTTTTAATATATTTTGAATTTGTATCTCTTTTTGTTTTCATCTTCCTAGGATTGTATGTGAGATGGCTGCGACTCCAGCAGACAGTCGGCCAGGCCCGGTCCAGTTGTGTGTTGGCGAGTGCAGACCAGAACTCAAGGCTCGCTCCACACAGCTCTACTCCTTTGTGGTATGACTACGTTCACACAAAATCTACCCGGTTACCTGATTTACTACCTCGTTTTAAAATGCTTGTTTGTTGTGCTGTAGTCGCTGTGTGGTGTTACAAAACATCTGGATGTTAAACTACAGTACAGCAGAGCAGGATTTCTACATACAAACGAATTGTTCAAGGGCCTCGGGTGAATAAAGACTTACGAGTTGCCATGACAACCACCTCTGCAATTAGGCAGCTCTGTGTTTGTGTACGAGTAACTTTTGAAATAACATTGTTTGATTGACAGCGCACGGTGTTCAGTGGGTCTGCATTAGTATTCCTCACAGGCCTTTAGTTGTTGATTGTCTTTATGTGATGAATTTATAAGGCTAATATTGCCTTATATTTCCATTTTTACCATTGATTTTTACCTTTTTTCCACTGTTGCAAGTAGGGGTGTACCAATAAATCGGACAGACGATAAATCGGTCGGCCGATTTATTGGCCCTGATTTCCTGAATTTTGGGAGATCGGAGATCAGCCGATACATCAGAAACTGATTTTACAGATTTTTTGTAGTTTTAGCAACAATTGTTTAAACTTCATTTATATTTCAGAGTACAACCTCATGACCAGTTAAAACAAGTTTGTATTGTTTCCAGGATATTCTTCAAGGGTACGCTTTTCAATAAAAATATTATAAAATTATTATTAAAAAATATTGGAAAATTGAAGGTGTATTGTGACCTAACACCTGACAGCGTCGCTTATCAAACAAAATCGGCATCGGCCAAAATTGGCAGGTCAGACATTTGGTGATCGGCCAGAAAACTGCAATTGGTGCACCCCTAATTGAAAGTGTTTGTTTTTAACAACTCGCCAACTGAGCTTCATTCCTAAAGTGATTGTAACACCCCCCCCCCCATTCATTTTTCGTTGTAATTGTGTAGAAACTGGACACACAGAGAAAACTACTGTAATTTCCAGACAAATGAGCGCACCTGAATAGAAGCCACACTCACTAAATTTAAAAAGAAAAAAAAAGTAAGTATATAGGCCATGCTTGTCTAAGAGCCGCAGGTATCCATGTTGTAAAATGAGATATTTAACAGAAAGATTTTTTAAAAACTTTTAATTAAATATGTACTGGTAACATACACAAATAAGTACAGTAAATGTTTTTACTGAACAGTGCCTGTAACACGGCTGGTTAAAAAATATACAGTAGCCTACCAGGAAGTCATTGATCGCTGTCTTCATCTTCTTCCTGTGCACTGCACACTTGAGCTCGTGCTGTCCTCCATCGAGATTCGTTTCCACCTTTTAGAAATTAAGTTTCCTCCCCTCCCAGTGGACCACGAACATGCACATCCAATACTGCCTCTGCCCTCGCTGGCCCCACTTTGTCTCTTGACCAGGGCCTATAACCCCCCCCCAGTCCAACTGCTTACTGGGTGCCTTGGATGGCAGCTCTCTGCTCCACACAGAGGGCTGTGGTAGCTCGATGAGCGGTGGTTGTGTCAAGAAGAGCATCCAGAACAGAAACAACTGTCAAATCTTCATGCGAGCGCTCGCTGCGGTGACCCCTGAAGAAGGGAGCGGCCAAAAGACGAAGAAAGAAAAAGTCGTCTCATGGCACAAGCTTCGTTCTTGTTTGAATAGATTAAATCTTTACTTTCACCTTTTTTACCCAGTCCTGAAACGCTCACCAGTAAACCTGCTAATTGTTCAGTAAATTAGAATACGGGAGTACTTTCTGTATGTTGTTTAAACTTTTCTATTCATGTTTTTCTTCTTTAAATATGCGTTACTGGCATAAGTCAACATTTTTATATTTTTTTAAAAACAAAATTAACCTGTGAGGACACTTAAAACCATTTTATTTTGCTTGTGTCTCTCAACTGAGCTAACAAAATGCAGATTTGCTTAAAAACTTATCAGCTGTTTTCGTACTGGGTGTAGTAGATAAAATGAGATTAATAGTTTCACAGGAATATGAGAATTAAATATAAAAAAATGATAAATACATTTGTTAAAATGTGAATACTTATCATCTGTTCTCCATTTTTAAAGACACACTGACATTTTCCTTTCTCTGTCATCCCAGTCTTCTGCTTCTTTCCTGTTTTTCACCTTTTTGTTTAGCACTTCTGTAACAATTAACAGCAGTCTGTAATTAGCTGTTTTCAAACCACCAGATTAAATGCTGTGTTTTGAAACTCACCGCATCCATCAGGTTTGAGCTTTGTCACTGTGGAAGCTCCTGGCTTTGCAGTCTGTCGCCTGTTTCTTTAATCAGTGATCAAACTGTCGCTGTGTGAAAAGTTCCTCTAGGATTTCTTCACAGAGCACAGAACTGCCTCTGCTTGATATTCCCATGGACTACAGGTCAACTAAAAAAATATAATCCACCCAGAGGAGTTGTTTAAATTAGCTGGAAACACTTTCTATTGAAAGATGTAGTCAAAGGACAGTGTCCAATAATTTAGTAAAGAACGTTCCATGTTTGTGCAGAATAAATGTGCTTTTCTATGTTCTCTTGCATGTGTGCGCTGCTGCGCGTCCCTCATGATGGGCTGTCTACATTCATATTTCTCCATCTGTCTATGTAAAGGCTACTTAGCTGCCTGTACTGTAAACAGCAGTTATTTTCAGACAGTCTTTAAAAGGCTTCACTCGAACACAACTCACCAATGCACAACACGCAGTAGTGGGATCTCTCAGGGATTCTAAGAGCTCCTGGTTTTATCCTCTTTTCTCCCACCAGCACCGCGCTCCGCTGCCATCAGCCTGGCAACATGAATAACTGTAATTTACTTGGGATCTGTGATAATACATAAAGTTGTCAAGTGTTACCACAGGGATGCTTCCTTGTTTACTCTTGACAGCGTATGTCTTTTAGTCCATGTGCTTGTTTCTTCTCTCTCTTTCCCCTTAAGTTGCTCTCAGGTCTGACTAACATTCAACTTTCTGTGTTTTGTAGACTCCAACTGTCACGGGCCTGTCCCCGAGCAGAGGGCCGGAGTCCGGAGGCACAAAAGTTACAATAATGGGAGAAAACCTGAGTGCCGGCAGCAGCGTCAACGTTCAGTTTGGAAACCAGACGTGCGAGTATTTTGGGTGAGACTTTCCACTTGCTCCACGTTTATGACGTAGTTATGCATACTTTGGGTGAATGCGTGTGGTTTGTTAGGTTGTGGCCTTTACAGGGACAGGAAGATTGTGGTGAGATGTGATATGACAAATGGGTCCAAAGTGGGGGTAGGCTTTAACCAGGGTTCAGGTCTGAGTTGCTATTTTTGTGTTTGTTTGTTTTCAGTTATGATGGAGAGTTTGACAGATGTGATCAGGCAGAGGTCCTCGTAGACTTTGAGGTTTGCAGACAAAATCGTGAGCTAAAGTGAAAGTAGAGAGCAGGTGGAATAGAATCTGGAGAGGTTGAGGTCTGCGAGACAGAATACGTGTTTGGGACTGAGAGGGAGACAGATGGAACAGTGAAGCTACAAGAAGAAGAGGTATTGAAGGTAAATAAGTTTAAGTACCTGGGATCAACAATCCAACACAACGGGCACAAAAACGAAAAGGCAGGAAAGGAGGATTGAACGGAGACGAATGTTAGAAGAGAGAGAAGGAGAACAGAGAAGAGAAAATGGGACGTTTCCCAAGACGGAAGTGACACCTGCTGTGATAGATGGTTAGAGATGGTGGTGCTAACAGAAGTCAGAGCTGGAGGGGGCCGACATGATGATGGTAAGATTTTTTTTTATTGGGAGTGACCAAATTGAGCAAAGATGAGTGTCAGAGGGAGAGCTTAGGTGATGTTAGAGCAGGGGTGTCAAACTCATTTCCACCGAGGGCCACATCAGCATAATGGTTGCCCAGATGTAACTGTAAAACAGTATAAATGTAGCTAAATTTAATTAAGTGTAATTTAAAATCAACACAACTACTCCTTAATGTTAAATAACTCTGAATTTTGTACTCATTCAACTTACATATATTACAAATATATTTGCATAGATGTAGAAAAATATGTCTGCTCATTTCTCTAACATAAAACCGTTTAACTTGTCAGGTTACGAAACCCACATTACTCCATAAATCAATGATCACACTTTCCAAGTGAAAAAGGAAAAATAACAAGGTGTGACATTAACTTTGTTCAAAACTTTCTGTCATAAAAGGAGCAGAATAATGATCCAGCCAACAATTGTGAGCTGTAAGAACATGTGACAGGTGAAGTATTTTACAAAAAACAAATGGCTGCACACAGCCTGGCAAGGGTCATACATCCAACTAGTGACTGAGAGATGGTATTATTATAGAAACCATTTATCTGCATAAACATAAACCTGCAATTCCAAATACATTGCTGAAAATTTAACATAATATAATAAAAGACATTTCATAAACTCAAAATAACAACATTAGGGTTGAAGGCTCACTTTGGCATACTTAGTGTTTGGTGTCAAAATGCTGCTACTTCGCGAGTAAGATGATCAGCATGCATTATGGGAAATATACTGGTAGTTTGTTGTCAGTGCGCCCTTTTGACTTATTTATTATATGACAATCAGACATTTGAAGCTCTCGCGGGCCACATAAAATGATGTTAGAGGAACACAGCTGAGATGTTTTGAGCATGTGCAGAAAGAAGAGATGGTAGATATTCTGGACTAAAGGTGTTGAATATGGAGCAATCGAGGTGGAGGAAAAGAGGAAGACAACAGAGAAGGTTCCTGGATGTACTGAAGGAGGATATGCTGAAGGTTGGAGAGACAGAGGAGGATGGGATAGGGTAAGATGGAGGCTGATGATCTGCTGGCGGCTCCTAAAGGAAGCAGCCAAAGAAGAACACTTTTTTTTTTACAAGAAAAAACTTGTGTGAAAGATATATTTGGAAAAGTGCATTGAAATTACAGTTCAAATCACAGTTATTGCCCTTACAGTCTAATGTTAAAATTAAAAATGAGCCTCATTATAAATAAAGAAACAAAAAACCCTGAGCCAGTTGAGACAAAAAGGTGAAGCACAGCACATTTCTTTATTGTTCGTGCTTTTTCTGTTGTGTTCAAATCAGTTCTTTTATATATTGTTGTAGCGTTTGCAGTCCTCTAAATTAATTACATACAGATAGTAAAACAATGGTTCGGACTGGGTTTCCTTCATTTTTCTGCCCTTCTTCATACATCAGTGTCAGAAGTCTGGTCTATACAGTCTACAGCGCGCTGAGCAAACGGGGAAAAAGCACTGAAACTGAAAATCATCTGGATCATTGCCACTGAATAAGCTGCTTTACTTGATGGCTTTCTTGTATTTTCCTTGGTGTTGCAGAGAATTCCCTCAGGGAAATGTTCTTTTTGTTCCTCTGTTGGAAACTTGTGTAAATCTTAATAAGGTTTTGATGACCTGCTGCGCCAAACCTTGTAATAAAAGCTTCATCGAACAAAAAAAAGAAAAAACATTTCTTCTTCCATCCACTTCTATCATTCTTATTATCTCTCCATCAAACTGTTTATGCCCCCCTCCCCCCCACCCCCCCACCTCACCAGCAGGTTTTTATTTCCTGCCTCTCACAGCCTGCCTGCATCCCTGCGTTCATAACTCAGATACTCCCACATGTCCTCTTTTTACACTTCACTCTGAACGCTCCTATTTTAAGCCCTGGAGCAGTAATCTGAGTGATCTTGCAGGGCTGAGGAGTCGAGTCAGCTTTAATGAGATGTGGCCTTAATTGCTGGTTTTTGCGCGTGACACTGGAGGAGGAGAAGAACGGGCGATGCTCCGTTCTGCTAATGAATTAGGACAAATCCAGAAGGTGTGCAGGTAGATAATGGAGTCTTGCAGAGGGTAGGTGAACATGCATGCAGTGGTGCTACCGCGTGTCGGTGAGTTTGTGTGCACGGTGCGCACCTGTGTTCACGCTGAGCTGTAAGTCAGGTAATTACAGAACAGGGCTGGCAGAACAAATTGCATAATTTATTCTGTTGCTGTAGGTGCTGCTTTTCGCTTGTGTAAACGGAGTCATTTTGCAGGTAATGTAGCATTTATAGGGCTATCATTAGTTTATCTTTTTCATCGACACTCTGTTTACCCTGCCATGCAGGCAGAGTAAAATCCTGCCGACAATCTTCATTTACATTTCCACTTTAATCCCATCTCTCCTTTGACCCACAGGAGGACCATGAAGGAGATAGTGTGCTACTCTGCCCCGTCCCTGTCCGGGGTGGGCTCGGTTCAGATCCGCGTGAGTGTGGATCACGCCCGAATCAGAGAGAGCCTCACCTTTGAGTACATCGAGGACCCGACCGTCCTGCGGATTGAACCGGACTGGAGCATCGCAAGGTGATCTCCCCAAAAAGATACGCTCACCGAGAAACCTTGAGCTTTAGACTAAGACACAAGATTTTCCTCTTGGTCCAGAACATTAGAGCCAGTCAGTTCGGGTCAGCGACAGGAAGCAGACGGAAGTCAATACTGCACTTTCAATTACTGCTCGGCCTTCTACCGATTAATGTGGTTCTGATAGAAAGCTCAGCCTCAGCTCACAGAGTGGAGAGGATGGCTTCTGAGAATATCCAGTAAATGTCACTCTCTGCTGATCTGTTGAACATGTCATACATGGAAGAAGCCCTGCTAAAATATCAATTATAAACAAGGTTTCCATATCTAGTTCTTTGCTTTGAGTTGCTGAGAGGAAAAGAAAATGTACAAAAACGTACTGAACTAATGGACAGTTCAAGGTGTATCTGCAGTAACTGACTCTCGTCACTGGGTTGTAGCTAACCTCGCCTGAGAGCCAGACATTTACCCGTCTGATATACAGTTCCTGAATCTTCTCTGAATGGCGCAACATCAGTAACAGAGCACAACGAATTCTGCCTGTTGATATGGAGAGCCATTTCATTCAATATTAAATAAATATTGTTGTTTAAAAAATCATTAATAAATATTCAATTAAATAAATAAATGTTCCCATGAAATAAAGCATTTAAATAGAAAATGATGTTTCTTCCCAAGATTATTATTTTTTTTTATTTTAAGATCTATTCTTCATTTATTTCAAGATTTATTTTTATGCATTTCAAGATTTATTTATTTATTTAATAATGCAGTCTCATTTTGTGACACTTTTGTTTTGTAAAGCTACTTTACGTATTTCAGGGGCTTTTATTTTTTTAACCCCGTTTTTCATTTTAAGTACTTTTTGTTTCATGTTCTTATATTCAAATGAGGGGGCGGGGTTTGCTCAGTGGGGCGGATCTGGTCAGGGTCAATGCAGCCCATCTATGAGTTTTATAGGCCGGGCAAATCAATATCTAAATCAAAAATAAAATAAATGATGGCCTCTCAAGTCTCACGCATTAACAGTGAGATACCCACATTTCATGATTCATGACATGGCACACTTTGTATTTTTCACGCTAAAACACACACACACAGGCCCTTTTTTGAAGAGGAACCAATGTGCAGCACAATGTTTCCGTACGGGCTGGAGCACAATAGCGGACATGTTGCCAACTTAGCCACTTTTCCACGTTATTTAGTGAGTTTTTAAACCCCTCTAATGACTTTTTTTTTAAACGACTAGAGACAAATCTAGAGAATTTTATTTCTGTTACTGGAGACTTTGGTGATGAAAGCACATTTCGCAGCGTGTCGTAAGCCCCTCCCACTTCCCCAAGCTCTGACAGCTGTCAGTCTCACAGCAGAGAGGAGACCCGCTCCACTCAGTGTCCACACTGCAAATGAATCACACCCTGGATTACAACGCAGGATGTAAATATAATGTAAATATATAATGCTCAATTTCATCATCTAATCTTTGTATTTCATCTCGGAGTTCTCCAATATTCCCCATATTGCCCGCTTTTCATCCTGGGGAAAACTTTGCTGTGATTGGTCAAAAAAGATTGGAGCAGTCAGTGTCTGTGAAGCAGATGCAATCTGCTAATCCTGACCAGACACGCCCCACAGCACAAACCCCGCCCCCTCATTTGAATATGAACATGAAATAAAAAATGCTTAAAATGAAAAATGGGGTTAAAAAAAACTGAAATATGTAAAGTTGTTCTACAAAATAAAACTGTCACAAAATGAAACTCCACTATTAAATAAATAAATAAATAAATACATCTTGAAATAAAAAATAAAAAAAATATTGGGGGAAAAAACTAAACATTTATATTTAAATGTTTTATTTCATGGCAACATTTATTTTTTAATGGAATATTTATTAATAATTTTTAAATAACACTATTTATTTAATTTTGAATGAAATGGCTGTCCATATGTTGACTCGGTTTGCCTCCTGCTTCATTCTGCTGTTCTGAGACTGCTGAGCAGCCACATCTGAACAGCTGTAGCTCTATTGGTTTCTCAAACTCAAATCTGCAGCAGCTGATTGCAGAATCAGTTTGAATTTCCCTTTAATCGTCCTCCACTTCAGAGGCCATTATGTCCCGAGAGAAACTAACGATGAGCTTCGATTTGATGCATTCATTTTCATCTGATGGTGAACGTTCTGACGAAGTACATTCAGGTTAGAAAGTTTAGTCCAGCTTTGTCTTTGACTACTTTGTTTTTTATTTCTTCTTCTGTTCTCAGTCATGTTTGGTTGCAGGAATTCCAGTTTTGTATAATTATGTTTGTTCAAAATAGTTTAATGAATTGTCTGCTTGTTTTGTGTGTGTGTGTTCAGTGGTCACACTCCGCTGATGGTGACAGGAACCAATCTGGATGTGGTTCAAGAGCCCAGAATCAGGGTGAAGTACGCAGGCCGGGAGTCAGTCAACGTAAGAACCGTTGATCTTAACCACGCAGCATAAGCTTAACCACAGAGAAGGCTGATAGCAGCTTCCACTGTAAAAACTGTTTATGTGGGTTAATAAACACAGGTTGGGTCCCAGTCAACACATCACATGCCACTGCACAAGCAAGCCAAGTGATGCTCAGCTTTTAAGAAATGTGGCATCTCTCAACGGCCCCTCTAGCTCTCTGTACTTTTTTAACTTTCACTTCAACTCAGCCTTCTTAAGCAATGAGCATGTGAGTGATACTGCTGGCAGTGAGAGTGATCTGCATGCAGTATTCATTGAAGACTTTTAAACCAGCCATCCATCCATTTTTTACCACTTATCTGGGTCAGGGTCACGGAGGAAGCAGTGTTCTCTTTAGACCTCCCTCTCCTTCCTTCGGCTCGTCCCAGCATTCCTCAGTCAGCAGAGAGGCACGTTCTCTCTAACATGTTCCCAGTGTGCCCTGGGGCCTCCTCCTGGAAGCACATGTCTGTAACACCTCACCTGGATGGCGTCCAGGGGGTATTCTAACTAGATAATTTTTTTTGATACAGCAGCTCTATTTTTAGCTCACGTAGAAGAGCTGAACTCCACATCTTGTCTCTACACGCTGAGAAAGGAAAGAATGGTAGGGGCGCTGGATTATGTTCTAACACGGTGGTGCAAAACCAAGAAGCAAATCAAAGAAGCTCATTTTGAGATTTTGCACTCAGGTCACTCACAAATTTGAGTATGTAGCTAAGAAAACAATAATTAGATTGGATAAACTGAAATGGACCAGCAACCTGTCAAAGGTGGACCCCCTTTGGTTACCTATTGCTGGAGATAGACACCACCCTCTTTAAAAGATGGAGACACATTGTTCCTCTTGCATCACTGATAAAGTACCTGTGAGGTGCGGGACTTGTTTAAAACCTTCATATGAGTTTTCCTTTCAGCTGTGCTGCACACTAGCTAGATAAATGTGTTGAATACTGCCAAAGTAATTTTCCTGTTTGCTGTTACCTTCTGAGAGAAAACGTCTGTACATCTAGAGGCAAAATGATAACATGTTTTTTCTGTAATTGAACTATACCCACAGGGGAAAAACAGTACTTTATCACATATGGACAATTTAGAGCTGCTAGTTGAACAAATATGTTTTTGGAATTTGGAAGAAAGCCAGAGTGTCCCAAAAAACAAACAAACAAACAAACAACATGTCGTGTTTAAAATTCAAATATAAAAGCAGCAGTCAAAAGTTTACGGAGGGCCCGTATATTTCTAAAGTTGTGTTGCACGTTGCAATCTTTCTGGCTGTGCCTTTAGGTCATTAAAGGTGCGATTAGATGTTCTTTGGTTGCAAAGACCGTTTTTTTTTTTACCTTAAAAAAAGTCTGTAGAAGACAAGATTTAAGGAGTGCTGGGAATGAGATTAGCCAGGGTCGACGTGTGTCAAGTGGTTTGGACCCTGGTAATATTGTTTGCAGTTCTAATCACTGCTTGTATCTGTAAATTTGTTCTACTGTCACAAAACCTACAATTTATGACCATGGGGTCAACAACATAGATCAAGCGGTAAATGGACATGGAAAATTCACTGATGGTCTGGCACTAATATGACATTTTTCAGATTGTTTGCATGTATTTGTGCAGTAAAGAAGCTGGAACGCTGCAACCAGTAGGTGAGAGTTGGTTAGCAGGAGAAGGCTGAAGGTGCCTGATTGGGGGCACGAAGGCTCCAGCTGGTTTTTCAACAGAAGATTAACTGGAGTCAGAAGTCTCTGGTCAGCATAAAGAGAACTTGTGTAATCAAAGTTTCTGTTGCAAGAAATCGTTACAAATTACATTTGAGCCCCTGTCCTGGGAGTCCTTGTTTAATTAAGAGGAGGGGATTTTTTTCTCTGTGGTTTGGGGGAAGGTGGGTAGGGCAGACAAATGGACTTAAGAAGAGAGCACAGACTGGTGGAAATCAAAAATAAATTATTGACAAGCCTTGCTCCAAGCATTCAGAGATAGTTTCTGAACTCTGATTCAAACACAGCCTTATGTCCAAGTTTTAACTGTGGGTCACTGGTCTTAGAAGCTTCACATTGCAAATATGCACTGCACAACATTAGGGTTGTTTACATATACAGCCTGGTACATACCCATTACTAGGTACATACCTGGTATGTACCTGGTACATACATACCAATATAACATTCATTCAACATTTATTTATACAGGTTAGTCTCATTGAGCCTCGAGGACTCATTTATAAGAGAGACCTGATTTAAACAAAGAACACAGATGAGATACAAACAACAATAGACAATCATATAAAAAGCATATAAAACGAAAAGTAAATAGAAGAAATGATATAAAAACAAAACAAAAACACATTCAATTCAATTCAAATTCAATTCAAAAATACTTTATTAATCCCAAAGGGAAATTATTTGTTGTAGTAACTTGTTATCCTCATTTCATTAAGAGATGTTATAGATGCTGATAGCTGTAGGCAGGAAGGATCACTTGTAAAGGTCCATCCCACAGTGGATCTTAAGAAACTGGCTGCAGATGCCATCTGATCCATCCACCCAGACTCAGCTGGCCTCTCAGTTCCCCCGGGCTGTAGGACCGCCTGAATGCTGGGCAGAACTCCTCCCAGAGCGATGGCCACTCCTCCCAGCAGTCTGCTGAGCTCCTCGTCGCTGCGGACAGCCAACTGTAGGTGCCGAGGGACGATCCTGTCCTTCTGCTGTCATGAGCCGTGTTTCCTGCTAGTTCCAGGATCTCAGTGGTCAGGCACTCGAGCACAGCTGGCAGGTAGATGAGAATGCGTCCACAGAACATCCTTTTCAACTCATTTGAGATTTGGGGCTGTAATTGAGATATTATTTGAGCTTTTGAGATGTTAATCAGCTGCTGTTGGTTGTAGAAAACTGCCTTGTTGCCATGGTTACGCTTCATAACAAATGTCCAAAACTAAAAGTTTCAGTAAAAATCCTTCCTGCTGCACAGCATCCGATACCAGAGGAAACATTCATCCCCCAAATAAATGTGATTTACATCCAGAAAAAGAGGAATTAAAGTTTCCAAAAGCAAAATCTCAGAGTGAAAGTAACAGAGCTGCTCCAACATGCAGCCACCTTGAGCGGCGCAATTCTAGAATTCATTATGAAGCAATGTAAAATATTTAAAAACAGGAACGTCTGCGTTGGTTTTTGCCATGAATTTAACAGTTGTTTAAAATCCCTTAGAGAGGTCAAGGTCGACAACTCCAGATATTTTTGCAAGATATTCCAAGTTACAGGAGCGGAGTAAGAGAAGGCCCTTTTGCCAAGTTCGGTCCGCACTGAGCGGATGCTGCAGGTAATTATGTCCTGAGAGCGCACTGAATGTATGAAGGCAGAAGACCAAGATTAAGATTATACCATAACTCAAACTTAATAGGAATTTATAAAAATTCTGATGGAAAATTATATATATTCCAGATTACAACAAAATTTAAAGATCAGTAGCTGGGAATATTTCAGCACAGCTCATTTTCATATGAGTTTTGCTGCAACGCTGTCCACCGCTCTGCCCCCCCCCCCCCCCCACACACACACACACACACGCACACAATTACTCTGTCATTGTCAACTCTTGTCCTTGCAGCTTTTAGTCAGAAAGAGACGGTAAGCTTGGTTTGTACGCTATTATTTATACTTTAACTTTCAAACCCATTTTACTCCACTCTGACCATGTTTACATGTGGGGATTATTTAACAGACTTCATAGTCGTGGCATGCCAGGACAGACTGAAGTGTACTCTTTAATGTCCAAATGTAAACAAACAACTTTAAATGTTGGCAACAAAACATTCTAATATTTTTGCTAGTTTAACATTCAACTCTTGTTAGTATTCAGTGGTTGTAGTCCCGTGTTGCGCAACAAAAAAGGGTATTTGGAAATACCCTCAGTCTATTTGTATAAGTTGTGAGCACAGTAACTTGAAAAATAAGTGAGGTATCAAGTTTCATGTTAGTGTGTGGCTGCATCTAGATGCAAGAAAGTTTCCTTTCAAAAATTGAGTTGCCACATCAAAATCCAAGATGGTCGCTGCCATACATATATATATGTATATATATATATATATATATATATATATATATATATATATATATATACATATGTATGTATGTATATATATGTATACATAGGTCTGTGGCAATAAACAGTAAATCAATTAATCGCATGATAAATGAAAATTATCCACCTCATTTTCATTTATCAGCTTTATTGTTTCTTCGTGTCTCTTTCTACTGAAGACACTGGATGACAAAAGACTCAACTCCGGCGCTCTTCCCTGACCCCTCCCTTTCTCTTTTCTCTTTAAAATCCATTTTAACTGTCCAAAATCACGTTTTTGGATCATTAAAAGCAGCTAAGCTGAGAAGCGACGCTATGAGCTAAGCTAAGAGGCCAACCTCAGGAAAAAACCTCCGTCTTGACAAAGCTCCAAAATTCACAGTTGAAACCCGAGCCTTCATCTAAAAAGTAGCTTTTTTATGCAAAAAGAAGCTGAGAACTTGTTTACTGACTTTTATTAAAAGTGTTGTGTGACAAATGCCATGTTAAAGATCCTGATGCTTAAAGATTAAAGATCTATGCTATGCTAGAGCTAGCTATGCTAAAGAGCTCAAACCACACCGAGCGCCTGCAATTTTGAGAATCGAAAAATAGAAACGAGAGACAGCCCACGTCACGTCAAGGGGCCTCCCTCCCATTTTTCTTAAAAAGACACGCTGCTCGCTCCCTCACTATCCATCCTTTGGTTCAAACCCTTTCATACTGCCATCCAGTTGTCAAAAAGGCACTACACACAAAAATTAACCAACATTTCTTCTTAAATTTGACAATTACTAATTATTGTCAAATTTCAAACAATATTATCATTTATCACAATAATTTCTGAAACAATTAA